ACATTGATTGGCGGACAAACTACTCAAAGTGGAATTAGCTGAATCAGTAGAATCAGCAAGCAGATTCGCCTGAATAACTTTAGCCTTTGAAGTACTAGAAGACCATTTATTCGACCATCTATTCTGACCTCTTCCTTAGAAGGCGAGTAACCATGTTTCTTATAACATTTATCAACAGTATGACCAAAGTAACCACAATATGTACAGACAGGTTTCTCATGTTTTCCTTTGAAGGCATTATAATTGTTGGAATTAACCCCATAAGCTGCAGAAAGAGGAAGAATTGAAGGAGAACTTGCAGATCTTTGCCTTTCTTCTTGTATAACCAGGGAAAAAATCTCGTTGATAGAAGGTAATGGCTCAAGTATAAGGATCTGAGCACGAATTTGACTAAATGAGTCATTTAGACCCATCAGGAAATGCAGAACATAGTCTTGATGTTGATAATCAATTAAATCCTTCATTCCTCCACAATGACAGGCAGGCGATGGTCTAAATTCACTCAATTCATCCCAAAGAGTCTTAAGTTTGGTGAAATAGGAGCTAACATTACTAGATCCTTGAATAAGAGCATGAATCTCCTGCTTTAACTGAAAGATTCTTGGTCCATTACTCTGATGAAATCGTTCATGTAAATCATTCCACATATCACGATCATCATTAACATACATTATACTATCTGCGATGTCCTTAGAAATAGCATTAAGTATCCACGACATAACCATGTTATTGCATCTAAACCAAAAAGAAAGCAAGCTATCGTCATCCTCAGGCCTAGATATAGATCCATCCACAAAACCGATCTTATTCTCAGCAATAAGTGCCATAGACATTGCACGATGCCAGGAATTGTAGTTATGGCCAAGCAATTGATTAGAAACCAGACTCAAACCTGGATGATCTGCATTACTGAGATAGAAAGCACCGTTCGCGTCCTCTGTGAAGAGTCAATTGATTTGATCTAATCTGGAGAAATAGTTCTCAATGTTTCCACCAGTTCGTCCTTCATTATTGTGATTTCCACTATTATTACCACCACAAGCATTACCACCTCGTGCCATAATTGATCAAGAGACGAAATGAAATCGATCAAAACATAGGAACCCTAGCAGAGCTAAATTACTCTGATACCATTTTATAAAAGAAAACAGATAGAGAAATGGAGAGGAATTCAACTCTTTATTAATCAGAATTCTCACAAGAGAGAAAGGAAATTACAATGGTTAAAACTCTTATATAGAAAGAGTGAGCTGGACAAAACGAGCTGGAGAAGGAAAGAGAATACAGCTGTAATGCCAACTCAGCAAGGTTAACATACTAACTAACTAACTAACTAGAATTCTAATATATAGAGACACACACAAAAAGTAAGGAAAATTCCAGTCTTTCGATAAATATCTAGATACAAATCCTTGCCCATATTTTAATTACCTATTATTATGCAACAAAGTTGCAAGTTGTGAAATCTTAGCAGTCTGGATTCTGTAAATTGATTTTTTGACAGACTTATCTGATGAATATCTTCAGTTTAATATCAAATGTTTCTTCGGTGTAGTTATTCACTTGAAAAAACCTCTAAATTACCATTGTCATATGGGGACTCAGCAGATCATCCCAGAATTATTTGCCTCCATGCGTTATATATCTTAAGGGATAAAATCTCATATTGAATAAAAATAAATTAAATTATAAGAGTTTGAATTTCTCATCTTTATAAGGTTTACCTTTTAACTTGAAACTCCAAGTCTTTATATCGTATTAAACTCCAACGAGAAATTCGATCCGATTGAAACTAAACAAATGAGAACCTCAAATGAGCCACCATCTTACTAACTTATGAGGGTTTGGACTACTCATTTTAATAAGATTGACCTTTAAAGATAGAAGGAGTCGTTCAACATGTAGAATTCAGATTCCATGTACTCAAAAGATCTCTAGCATTATAGTGTCCACTTGTTCAATTGGTACCAATATTAGTATCTAAATTATACAATGAGTTTATGGTGAACCTGATATATTCCAATTTCCAAATTTTTCATTTGTACGATTTCAAATTATTCTTCCTTTCAAGGGATATGGCTGGTTCCATAAGTTTTGAGTAAGCACGAAGATATTTCATGGGTTCAAATTGTCTCCAGATTTTTATTAATAGTTACGGTATGCCTTCTGCAATTTTTCATATGATTAGGATCTAGGTTCATGCGGCCTTTAATTTCATATTTTTTCATACGTTTGATTTCACAATTGAATTTGTCAGTTTTGAACATCATGCACGAATTTCTTCGTGTCACGTCTATTGTATCTGTTTTCTCAGACAAGTATCCTTGTGCTGGTATTCTTCTCTATTTCACTATCTAACCCTCGTCTCACTTATGAGCTTGAGAAGAAAGGATCACCCAGAATACGAGACAATGGGCTGCGCACTGGGTATACCTGATAGTGGGCTTCTGTTACGAGGGGAACCAACCCAGTTTGCAGATCCTAATGAACCTTTGGATAAGCTTCTTTTGAAGATGAAATTTCGTCAGTCATTAATGGCATTTGCTGATAGGTAATGATATATCACCAGTAGAACTTCTTGGTCTAAAGATGTTAGAGCATGTCGATTCTCTTTTTTCTTCCTTACAGTTCAGCTGTTTGGCTGGTGAGAGTGTACATCTCTATGACGAAGTTCAACAACTTGAAAAAGCTCCTGATAATGGTCATGTAAGAAAAATTTACATAGCACGACATATTATCGAAAAATACATAGCTCCAGGTACAATCACACATTTATGTTGAATTTTGTGGTATTATGTATCTTATAGAATACTTCATTATGCGATTCTTGATGATTACAAGGTGTCTTTACCATGTCCAGGTTTGTTTTCCATGAACTGTTCACTTTGTCCTCTTTAAGTTTCCGTTTTGCTTATTTTTCTACACGGGTGCAATGGTTGAGATAAACATTTCTCATCGTTGTTGGCAAGAAATTTGAGCTACTCTTGATTTAGCACACCCTGATCTCTTCAAAAATGCAGTAAACGAGTTGATGCAGTTGATGGAAACTGTTTAAGTATATTTTCTGGACATTCAAATTCATACATGTTTGAGTTCTTTAAACTGATTAGGCACGTTGATTACACCCAAAGAATAACGCGGTAATTGTAGTGCAGTTTTGGAGTATCGTATCCA